ACTACTACCGATTTTCAATGCAAGGAATAACTTACAACATATTGCTCCTATTCATAGACAAGTCATTGGATTTTTAGGATGCCCACACACATATCTACTTTCCAATTTCAGTTAATTTTATGGTAAATTCAAAATAAAGTTCAATTAATATGTGCAAAATTTAGAACAATAAGGTCAGAATGGTGTACAATACTCTTGCCGACATAAGGTTGATAAATATTTGAGGGTTGAGTAATAATTGAACCATCTTTAATAGATGGTCTAAGAAAATTGAGATATTTAATCGATATTGGTATATATCAGATTTTGTAAATAAAAAAAAACTGCATTTTCATATTTTCTTAACATAGCACTAGGTATTACATCTCAGTTGAGTGTCAAACCACGGACCTTGAGAACGTAGTTTGCTTCTGCGTTAGTTGTAGTCTTCTTTTGAAGTTTCAATCCATATTTTAGCCTCACAAGGTGGTATTCCAAAATATCAGTCTCAGTACTCATCTGTAAATTTTGCTTGTGTCCTCTTACACTTATTGTCCATTGTCTTTTCCTTTCAATATTTATTCCAAATATTTCCATACATCACTTCATAAACTTATCTACTTTTCCTTGTCATCTTTAATGTTGTTGTCAGATTGATAAGTGAATTTTTTGACTCAAATTCGCCAATGTATGGTCTGAAGAGTGTCGTCACATTTTTTAACTCAAGAACTCTGAAAAGTTTGTTGCAACATAAACATCTTTGAAGGTCAAATTTAGTAACAATAATCCTGCTTCACATCTCCATGTGGGTGCTCTTTGGCTTACATAGAACATAGAGGAAAAAGCAAGCGTTCATCTTCATCTTCCATAATTTTGATAGGTAGGACTGGAATATCTATTTGTCTTGGTGAAATAAAAATAATTTTAGAAGGCTAGACTGTGTCTTCCGGTTTGGTACAGTTAGCATCTTTGTTGATCACATATGCCGCAGTATGTACAACTGAGTAACTTGTAGTTACATTATAAACGATTAGAATGAAGTTACATCTTAGTAAAAAATTGTTTGTCCAGTAGACTCACCCTTGTGGAAGGTTTAAGAGGAAAAGCTTAAAATATTGATTGGTCCATCGTCAAATATTTTTTGAACATTTTCATAATCTTTTGAAACAATATTTCTTATTTCACACTCCCAATATACCTCCAAATGCACAACTAAATTCTTGATAAATTCAAACGTTGGTTGTCTTTTTGTCTCTGATGTCCTGTTGAGACCTATAGTGAGTTTTATATCGTGCTGGGTAGCATTTAATACATCCGTGCAATGAAATTTATAAAAATAAATTATTTTATTTTTAATAATTTTAAAAATAAAATTTACTTTTACCCCATTTACTTCAATGGTCAATTTCTTTTCTTTAATACACCCATCCAATTTATAATTGCCAAATTTCCTCTCTCAATTCTTTGAGTATCTTCCTAATGCTCACCAGATACTTTCAGAGTAACACTTGAGGAATCGGAGTGTAACAAATTATGATATCCTTATTACTGTCAATTAAAATTTGGGATGATTCATCTGCAAATGCTTCATACATACTAAAGCTATAGTCATTGACACTAGTAGAGATCAAGTCCCTGGGAAACTTCCAAAAATTAATTCCTTACGGCTATAAGAGTATTTATTAACATATATATGTCATTGGTAAAAAACTCCTAGTTGTTCACCTAGGTTGAATGGGTGTTTTTGTGTTCCTCATACCATTTATCAAATTGGGCCCTTTTCTCATGCTAATCTTTTGTTAAGAGGATTTCCTTTTTATGAATTTTTGGTTATTCGCTAAGTGAAGGAAGAATGGTTGTCTTCCACTTCAAGAGTAAAGGTATTGATTTAAATTATAGTAGAAGATGATTCAACGTTTTTTGGAATTTTTTACCTTCATTTCACACATTCTATTTCCATTCCTAATCATATCTGGAGGCGGTAATTGAAGATCAGTGCAGACTAGGACCATATTAAATCTTCCGCCAAAATGAGAGAATTGTATAATTCTTAGTAGAAAAATTGTGATCCAAGTTATAAAATTATTTAAAAGGTCGTTGTCAACTGTAGTATTGAAAAAGGTTTATGAGTGTTGATGAAGAGGTTGATGAAGAAATTGTTTCTTCAAAAAATTTTACAGTTGTTTTCAATACATTAATGCATTCAGGACAGTTGATTTTATTTAAAATGAAATTGATGGTTCGACAAAAAAAACAAGAAATTGAACTTTTGTTATTGCTTGCATGGAGCAATGTTTCAGTACGGTTTATGTTTTTTATTTGTAAGGGGTTTTATGAGCACACACTTTCGAAGTCGTATAAGCATATCACTCAACATTGTTCACATTTTTGAATTTATTGCAGTAATTTGATTTGAGGTGATGGTCATAGCAGTTCTCGTTGTAAAATTCTTTATCACATCCATAATATTGTTTGAAAAAGTTGTCAAATTGTTTCAAGGGTAATCTTGGTCGATCCTAGAGCAGTTTTACGATCCTAGAGCACATCTGCTGGACATGAAGTCGTATGATCCTTTAGTCTGTATTAAAGGTTACCAAATATATCACGATTACGACATCAAATAACGACATCAAATAGTTATTAATAAACATTGAAATATTATAGTATATTTTAAAATAAGTCTCCAAAATATAAACACACCTAATCTTTAAAAATAAAAACTTTAAACCAACCTCTACAATTATTATTCTAATAGTCAACCACTTTTTGTCATCCAGTTAGTTTGATCAGGAGGAGCATTAATTTTATTCATCATTTCCTTAGCATCCTTCTCGAGTTGTTGAGTCATATCTCTTCTATGCATGTAATCATAAAATTTCCATTTTAGCCAATCGTTTGTTGAGAATACAAGCGTGGCAGATAATTAACGAAATAAGCAATAGTTGTCGGAATTAATAATTTTAATAAGATGGTAGTCATTGACTTTATGTTTAATTGTTGACTTTTTGCCGCTGCCTCGAATAGTACGTATAGGATGAAGATTCTTCTTGTCAATACGTGTAACTAAAGCATTAAATGGGCTACCCCATTATCTTCTTTGATTGAGCCACTTTAAGGAATTTGTTGCTTATGGCGTCTACTGTGTTGTTGTTGATGTACCTGTTCGGGAGCAGGTATGAGTGAATTTTCGTTTTCCATTTCGTTTCGTTTCGAAATAAAAATTTTTTATTTCGATATCATCGATCGGGATCCAAATGTCAGTTTCAAGTAACTGACTGCTCACTGAAAATCCAATTTGGTCAGGACCAAATTGCTGATCGGGATTCTTCATAGCTTGGCTTATACAAGTTTGGAATATTTATTGAAGTAAACCTTCCGGATTAGAAGGAAGCTAATTAATTAAGAATTTCTTATTGATGTTAGTCATGATGAAATTTCTGGTGATTTTTTTTCTTCGCTCATATGTAAATTACGGCTCAGCTTATCTAGTCTGTCAGAATGAGTAAGATGTGTAAAATGAGTAAAAAAAGTAAAATAAAACTTTTCAAATTGAAAAAGTTTCATGTTCCAAGGTCTAGAACTTGAGTTTTGAGCTCGATTTTAGTTTGAAACCACTTGTTCTATATAACTCATCAAACTGATCAAAATGTCAAAAATGACATATGTCAACTGACATATGTCAAAATGTCAATTGACAGATGTCATGATGTCAATTTTCCCAAGAAGATGTGTGAGGCTAGGGAATAGTTTGGCGAAGTGTTTTTTCAATTATTTTTTTAAAAGTACCTTTTTGAAACGATTAAAAATTAACTCCTGAACCTTTTGGGAACCATAATAATCTTGTAAAAAATATGTTAAGGGTTTACTCTTATTTAAAAAATTTACAGCCTAAACCGGTTTGGTTAAAATATTCCAAACCGTTTAAACCTTTTGAGCACCCCTTAAACCTTAAAGAAATCTTTGACCAACATTTAACTACTTTTTATTTATAAAATTCAACCGTTTTCCCTTTTCTGACAATAATTTATAAAAATTTCCAATTTTATTGTACATGACCGATTTTGGGTAATTTTTACTTTTCAACAATAATTTCACAAAATAATTTTCGCATCACTTATTTTTAGGTAATTATTTCTATTTTTATTTTATAACCTTTATTTTGAATTTTTTCAAAAGTAGGGTAAAAATAAAAGGGAATAGAAGATGGATAGAGGAAGAGGTGGAACTTTAAAAGAAAAGTTTTTAGAACAGTTTAAAGTGAAAAATATGGGAAATCTTGGTTTGAACCGGTTTAAAACCACTTCTTGAACCCTTGAATATTTAGGAACCATTTTAACCTTTCAATTACGTAATCTTATGAAAAATAGGGAAAATCATTGTTTGAACCTAAATCGGTTTAAAAAATACTTTTTGAATCCTTGAACATTTAGGGACAATTTTTACCTTTTGGATATGTAATCTTGTGAAAAATGTGGGGAATGTTTTGTTAAGGTGGTTTTCTTTAAAAATTTACTTCTTAAAACGGTTTGATCAAAGTACCCCTTAAACCCTTTGGGAAAGAAAAGAAGATAGTTAAAATAGAGAAGAGCGTTCGAAAGGTGTTTTTTAACTGTTTTATGAAAAAATGTAAAATCCTTTTTTGAACCGGGTTAAACCACTTCTTGAACCCTTGAACATTTAGGAACCATTTGGTTATGTAATATACTGAAAAATATGGGGAATGTTTGGTAAAGTGTTTTTCTTTAAAAATTTACCTCTTAAACCGGTTTGATCAAAGTACCTCTTAAACCCTTTGGGAAAGAAAAGAAGATAGTTGGAAAATAGAGAAGAGCGTTTGAAAGGTGTTTTTTTAATGTTTTACGAAAAAATATGGGAAATCCTTCTTTGAAACGGTTTAAACCACTATTTGAACCCTAGTACATTTGGTAATCATTTGGTTATGTAATATTGTGAAAAATATAGGAAATGGTTTGGTAAGGTGTTTTTCTTTAAAAAGTTCACACCAAACCGGTTTGATCAAATTACCTCATAAACCCTTTTGAAACTTCTTGAACTTTTGGACTCTGACTATGGAGTAGTTGTGTCTTATTGACCGTGTAATTTGAGGAGAGGTCTTGTCTACGCTTGCATTTGGTGACGACGTTTGTGAAAAAAATCCTGCCTACGTTTGCGTATGACGACGAGAAAAAGGGAGATATAACTACTTCCAATATTTTTTTAATTTCTTTAAATTCTTTATATAAAAATTCTACAGAATTTTCTCTCAATTTTCTTTTCTCATTTTTTATAAAATTATCGGGATTTTTAAAATATTCAACAATTTCCTCGTATTCTTGTCCTCCAAGCTTTTCAAAACGTTTATTTAAAGGTTTTATTTTAACATTATAAACGACATTTTGGAGAAAATCAAAAGGATGAATTTTAATTTTCATTAAATTTTCGAAGATTTTCTCATCAATTTCCACTTTAATTTCCTCATCTAATCGTTTTTGTCCATCCTCCTCAAATTTTTTTATGTAGTCTAAAATTAGGTAGATTAATTTTAATTATTATAAAGTGGAGTGAGGTTCATACTAATAAATAATTTGACAACTTTGTGAACAGTTAGAGGTTATTTTCCAGTGGTGGATGCCAAACATCTTGGACGGAAGTCGAAGTAAGGCACTTCCATAGGCACTTCCGTCACAGGTTTAAGTAGCTTAGACCCAGAAGGTTAACCAGACCAGGGCTGTGCGCCAAAATTTTCGCGTGGCGCGCCAAACGCCAATTTTTCAAATTCTTAAAACACGCCAAACGCCAGAACGCCAAAAACGGCCAAAAATGGACGCCAACGCCAAACGCCATGGCGCACAGCCCTGAACCAGACCCGGGACTTGTAAGACACACAGATAACGGAAAAGGTTATAATTGGTTATTCCAACCCTACACATTTTTAACTGATCATAATTTTGTTTAGAAGCCCCCAATCATCTTATTTTCTAAAAACAATTTATACTTTTAAATTCTTCAATTCGTTTTTCCTTCAATTTTATATCAGGCAATTTATCCAACTCTTCTATTAAATTATCTTCTAGCTTTTTTGATTTTTCAGAAATTTCTATTGAAATTTTTTGTTCAATTGAAGTTTTTCCCAGCTTTTCCAAAGACTTTAATTTCTCAAAATTTTCATCCAAAATTTGTTCAATTCCTTCAAATTCTTCTTTTTTTGTTTTATTTTTCTCATCAATCAGATCCTCATTTTTAGTTTTTTTAATTAAATTTTTAGTAAATAACCTCACAAACCACAAATTTTCCAACCAAATTTTTCTTTCAATACTTTTAATTATTTTCCATAAATGTTTACATATTTTATCAAAAATACGTTTTTCTGTCTTTTTTATTAATTTAAGACGTTTTTTCTCTAAATCAGTATGAATTTTTAATATATTTGACCAGTCAAGATGTACTTGTTCTCCTTCACCAAATCCATTTCTTCCTTTGTAGATTGCTTCTAAGAATAAGAAAAAATATTTGAATTCATTATTTAAACTAGGGATCGGAGATTTTAAAACCTTGACCTAATCTTAATACTTGATTTTGGTTGAGGACCTTGACCAGATTCTTGTCTTTGAATCAAGGAAGAATCAAAGTCAAGAAATAATCAAGTAACTCCGAAAAATGCTTTATCTTGACTATGGAATAGAGAGCTGGACCAAGGCCAGGGTTTTTCCTGGTCCAGGCCCAGTCATTTTTTGACCTTCCTGGGTTCTTTCTGGACTGCAGGCCCAGGATCCAGTCCAGGTCAATAAATCAAACTCCAGAGTGCAGGAACAGGGCAAGGCTTTTCAAAAATCTCGAACTATACAATGTCACAAGAAAAATCAAAATCTGGATTCAGATCTTGTTTTTCTACATTTTTGGCATTTTTCTGGACCCAGATTTAATTAGTGCCGATCTCTAATTAAAACCAAGAATTTCTATCAAATACCTAAAATCGCAAATGTCCCCAAATGCGCATTTCCTTCCCCCTCCTCAACTTCAACATGTTTTTCTTCATTTTTAGGCATTTTTTCTTCATTTTCTTCTTCCTCCTTTTTATTAAAAAATATTATTTTTTTTTCTCCACTTTTTAATTTTTCTAATTCTTCCTTCATAACAGTAGTCCCTTCTCGAAAAAGAAATGCCCAAACAAAAATATCTTTTTCCAAAGAAAATTCAACAAAACATTCTTCTTCATCTTCATCCTCTATCCCTTCTTCCAATTCATTTAAAATAAATTTATTATTTATTTTTAACCAAATATAAACATATTCCAAAATTTTGTTAATTGTTTTATTTTCAGAAATAAATTGTTTTGTTCTCAAATCTTTTTTAACTTTTCCCCTAATAATTTCGGGAAGAAAAAATAAATTTTTCTTGACAAGTTTTGAGGCGTATTCTGATGAAATAAATTCTTTGACATTTTTTATTCTTTAAAAAAATAAATAAAAATATTTTTTTAATTTTTGAATTTACTTGGATTGTTTTTGAGAATTTTCTTTTTCCAAAGATTTTTTTAATTTTGTTGACTTTTTCAAATTTTCGATAAATTCTGTTTGTTCATTTGTTTTGTTTAATTCAACATTTAATAAACAATTAATTACAAAAAATAAAAATAATTTAAATTTAAACATCTACTAAAATAAAAAATTAAATTTTGAATGAAAAGGGGTTTTAAAGGTTTTAAATTTTTAAAAAAGGGTTTCAAATTTCAAAAGGACTCGTTTTGGCTGGAGCAGAGGTGTGTCGGAACAGTCAGAGGTGTCGGAAATCGAAAATCAAATTTTTTTGGAAATCGGAATTCCGACCCATCTCTGGGCTGGAGTATGCTTGTAATAGTGCCTTAAGTATTTTTAAATCGTCCAGCGTTGATTATAGATAACTTAGGGTTTAAGTTTCTATAATAATTTTTTATACATATGTATTCAATAATTAAGTTTTCGGCATTTTTTTTAATAAACGATAAATACATATAGACTATTTAATTCATATGTACATTGAGAATAATTCAATAAATTATAATTGAATTAATTTATTGAATTTATTAATTACTCAGTCAATAAACGACTATTAACAATGCTTTATAATGTCTATTAAATTTTTAAATATTTTTTATTAACTTAGAATTAAGGTTGCTCACGACCGGTACTCCCGGTTTCTAAATTTTGAAAATCGGTTTACCGTTTTGAGTTTTAGACAAATACTGGTTTTATTTTGGGGGAATTTTTAATAAAATCACTCATTTTCTGAAGTTTTCGGTTTTTTAAATTACATAAAAACGGTTAATTTTTGGCAAAAAATATCAAAATTTTCGGTTTTAAAATCGGTCGTGTGCAACCTTGCTTAGAATGTTGAAATTAAATTTAAATTTTAAGTTAAAAATATTTGGTTTTTATTTTTGTAAATATTTAAATTAAAAATTAAAGTTTGGAATTAATAATTTGTGAAGATTTTTCTTCAAATAAACTATTTTTTGGTTCCGGATATCCAAAAAATTTCCAGGAACAGACAACCCTAATTATGAATTTAAAAAAATAAAATAATAAAAAATATTTTTTTTTTCCAATTTATGTCTAATATTTTTGCCTTTTAAAATTTATTTCCTTGTCTATCACTATGTTATGTAATTCTCAATAATCTCTAATAAAAAATACACTTTAAATAAATAACAAATGTCGAAATATAAATAAAAAAAAATTTTTGTAAAAATATATTTTAAGTCTGGGGGGATATTCTTCGAATCACGTGATGAGTAAACAAAAGTTAAATTGCAATTCAGAAGCATTTGAAAAAATTTGACCAAAGTTTAGAAATTATTTGACCTAATCTACTCGAGAAACCCTAAAATATACTATATATTCTATCATTTCTTTTGTTTAAATCACAAATACTCTACCTTTGTTAAAATATAATATTTTCAATGAATTTTATTATTTTTTAAAATTCTTTAGTAAATAAATGTACAAAAGAAAGCATTCGTACAAAAGAAATTAAAGATTTAAATTAATCCTTAATTCAATCAAACAACTGGCCAATGGCTATTGTTTTGATTTTCGGGAGTAAATAGAGCTTTTCATTCATTTGAAAAAAATGAGGTAAAATTAGTCAATTAATTTAAATTAATTGTAAAAAATATTTTTATTTTTATTAATTGATGCAAAAGCATTATGTCAAATATACTTGGTTGAATTTTTAACAAACCCGAGACCCGGACTTTTTCTCGACCCGAAACCCGATACGAAGAAAATTTTGAAAACCCGACCCGACTTTTTTCTCAACCCGTTACATCCCTGATGTGGTGCGAGATTATCTCCATCTTAAAATAAACTAATTAAATCTTTTAATAAATAAATTTTATTTTTAATAAAAATTTCTACAAAAAACATTATTTTTCCTTCATTTTCTAGATCATGCATATCCGTAAATTATTATCTTTTATGATGCAGTTTTTTGAAATTATTACAAATCATCGACGCCGTAAACATAAATTACTTACAATAAAACATAATCACTTAAATCCTAAACGTTTTTTAAATAAATTTATCCCCGTCACTGAATGGCTACCAAAATATAGTTTTTAAAAATTATTTTTCTTTAATTAAATTATTTTAGAATGGCGACACTCTTTTTTCGTTGATTTATGTGCTGGTCTTACTGCTTCTGTATTTTCTATCCCTACAGGTAGTCTCAATTACACTCTATTAGTTATCCTTTTATGGAGGTGCTAGTCTAACTCTTTCAAAGTCTAGTCTAACTAAACTCTTTCAAATGTTCCACCACACGTTCAGAATTCAGAACACGAATAAGTGTCATTACTCGATTAATTACACCCTCTGCAAAATGTTAAATAAATACCCAGGGTATAAAAAATACCCAGGTTATTCAACTTAGTATCATAAAATCTAAGGGAATAGAGACATCTTCTCACTCAGAGTTAGGTTATATAACAGACCATTAGTCTAAAATGAAGAACAGGGTACTCGTAAAACTTGATTGGTCGCGTGAAGGTGCCATTTTTTGTTTCATATTACTCGAAGGATTTATTTGATCTACTTTTCTCATATTTTTATATCTTTCTATCAAACGTGAACATATTTTTTAGGAATTGCCCATGCCGGTATTTGCGGTGTTGCTCCAGTTTATGTAATAAAATATAATTTTTATCAATTAATTATTAAAATAATTAAGGGTCTATACACTGTTATTTTTCCAACATTTTTCTATATGCTTTTCGGCCATTCCCGACATAATTCTCTCGGTGCTTTTGCCATTCTTTCTTTAATAACTAGAGCAGCTATTGAAAAAGTTGATCAAATACTTATTAATGATAGGTTAGAAAATTAGCGGAAATTTTGTTAAATATATTAAAAAGGAATGGAGGTGCTACTCCCGTTTATGATTATTCAACGATATCTCCTTTGCCAACATCTGACGATAATGAAACTATTAGGATTATGAACAGTACTTTCTTTGACGGGGAAGATCAATTGCTGATTGATGAGGTAATTAATGAATATACTTTTGGAAATTAAAAATCCTTGAGGTTTTATAGAAAATTCTCAAATTAAGAATTAACAACCATAACAAATAATTTCTTTGTATTAAAATAAATATCATTAATTATTTTTATTTGAAATGAAATTCGTGATAGAAATTAAAAAAGTAGCGCTCACTGAGAGAGCAATGCTTGTAAATTTAAAATTTACTCGTACTTCGTACTAGAGATCGAGCTGGGCCTGGACCAAGGCCTGGGTTTTCCCTGTACCCAGAGTTTTTGACCTTCCTAGGGTTTTCCAAGACTACAGGCCCAGGATCAGGCCCAGGTCAATAAATCAAACCCGGAACCCAGGAACATGCCCAGGCCTTTCAAAAATCTCGATCTCTACTTCGTACATGCATTAATATTTTTTCTCGAACACGTCTATGAGTAAGACTGATACGTTATTCCAAACGCTGCCGAAAACTCCTAAACTGTTAAAAAAATATTTTTCAATTAAAAGAGCACATTAAACACATCCTCAATTATTGCTGAATTAAATATTTCCTCTTCTGATGAGAATATTATTGACAATAATAATCACAATAATCCATTACTTAGCGACCCTATACAACTTTCTGTTCCAAAATTACTTCAAAACAATACGAATATTACTGTTGGTGAAATTGGTAAAAGATTAAGTGAAATTAAACCGATACATATTGCTACTTTGATTTTATTTTTGGGTGGAATTTTTCAGGTGGTCTTCAAAGAAATATAAAAAATAACAAATATTTTAGGTAATTATGGGTATATTTCGTTTGGATTTTCTCTCATGTTATTTCTCTGAACAAGTTATGACTGGATTTGTTTTGGGAGGATGTGTACATGGTAGTAAATATATGACACTTGCAAAAATAGTAGATAGGCCTCCGCATTTATTATTAAAGATTAGCACTTACCATTTTAAGTATAGTGTCACATTTCCTGTGGTAGTTTAACATTGTTGCCTCAGTAATCTTACGTTTCTGATATATAGGGAGTAAAGAGATAGGTAGTAAAAAAGTCATGTTATTTATCGTTTACCGTATATCCTTTAATAATTACCCTTGGTAATTATTGTTTCAACACCCGCTACAGAGAGTAATTAATCAAGGGAGGGTAATTATATGAGGTTTGAAATTTGAACGTGTTTTATGGCATTTGTTTAGGGGTAATTATTATTTCAATCTATCACTGGATGGGGTAATTAATGGAAGAGGGGTAATTATTTAAGGAAGGCAATTAATTAACGTTATACGGTAACGATGATTTGTAACATTCATATCAATCCGTTACTTATTGTTACTTAATAATTCGTGCCATTCACTTCATCTTACTTTCATTATAAAATTATTTCTATAATTTTCCAGTATTTTTCTCACAACTTGGGGACCTATTGGGTATCCAGCATTTATTGCCTCCTCGATCTGGACGTGGATATTTATATAATGTATGGATATTAATTCTATTTTTTATTAAAATTAAACAAAATTTTAAGCGTGTTTTCGATATAATTGATCATTTAAAGTTTACAAATATTCAAACAATGATAATAAGTATTTGTTCTATTTTCTTTCTTCTTTTTACTCAACAAAT